CGGTTGTAATACTGACTATCTTGCGACAAAATCCCATAATATTTCGGACTCGGCGGAATGCCAGCTTTTGAATACACTGTTTTACAAACAAAGACCTAACGCCATTTTGCGCAAAAATCTGGCGCACGTTGTCATTCACTTTTTCTCACACCTCTCTCTCCTTCTTGTCATTTGGTCCTCAAAAAACTCTCTAGGTACGCTGCTGACTCCGAGTAAAATCACACTGAAGAAGCGACAAGTTTGACAAATACTTCCCCCTTGTAAATCTGCTCATGTGCTTTAGTATTTCTGGTTGGCGGGAGATTTTTTTCGTAAAACCACATACTGTCACAAAAAATAGCGCTTTCAAATGCTATGCTCGGTCCTGCTATCGGAGTTCTTTCTGGGTATAATTTGTCATCTGCTTCGCGGGTCTGCACTTAAAAAGCAAAAAACTTTAGAGGCATTGACAGAGGACCCTCTCCGACAGGGTCATTTTCATGTCTCGCAGATAGCCTCTCACGGCGTACAGTGAGTAACCGATCTCATGAAATGTTGGCTGAAATTCTGAAATGCGTTTTCGATTAGGAAGGACCACTTAGGTGCGGTTGTAATACTGATTATCTTGCAGTCTAATCCTATGATATTTTGGACTCGGCAGGATGTCGGCTTTTGAATACACTGCTTTTCAATCTCCTGTAGAAACTGTACTCTCTAAAAAATGACTACTTAATTAGCATGCAACTTTCACATTGGTTTTCGATGGTCTTGCAAATTCAAATATATTTTATAGAAACTGCGAACAAAAATAAGCTTTGTTGCAATCGTTTCATAGAGGATCACGTCATGTTTATATTTTTCTTTTAAAGAAGGAGTATAATTAGGTTTTAGGAAATTTTTCTAATTCCCGAATAATTTGGGGCCTGATCAGTCGTTGTATTTACGCTTAGAAATTTCAGTCGACAGGGTGCATACGTTCCAATTAAAAAAATCATGTATTCTTCTATGCGTTTAAAAAGATGCCATATAGAATAAATAAAATCTTACAATGGATGCGGATCATGTTGCACATTTCATGACAGGTACGATGCTGAATGAAGGGACATTGCACGGTCTTAAAAAATTTCATAATTAGAAACTTTTTTAAAACCCAATTATACTCTTTCTTCGAGTGGGATTTCTACGGGAGATTGAAAACCAGTGCATTTAAAAGCTAATATCCTACCGAGTCTGAGATATCATAGAATTATGTTGCAAGATAATTAGTATTGCGACCGCGCCTAAGTAATCCTTCCTAAACGAAAACGAATTTCAGCCAACATTTCATTAGATCGATTACTCACTGCATTTCAGTCATTGAAAACAAGCGCCCAAAATTGCCCGTGCCAAAATTCTAGTGACCTTAGACTTCGTGAACCCTTTTCAAAAATTGCGATTTGCCAGGCTAAAACAAAGTGGTTCCACCAGAATACAAAAGTGCACATCCTGTCGCCCGTCAAAAGCGGCAGCAACGCCTTGCCCATTTTCGCACATAAACACATGCTGGTTATCGTTGCTGCAAGCACGCTGGACAGCATGGTCGAGGCGCTACGCACACAGGCATGTCTTATTGTTGTGATGTTGTCATGACAAAAAACGCGTGATACGTAAACTATAATTAGGGTGCCTTTGGAGAAAACTCTCCCACCCGACGCCGCCGCTGTCTGTGAGATGCGCAAGGTTGACTGCCCACACCCGTGTTCGAATCCTTCACCCATCCCTCTTTTAGGTGAGTCCATTTTTGGGACGTATTTGCGGCCCCGAGCAGTAGAGAGAGAGAGACGAATAAGATCCTGACGGCGAGGGAGGACACTTTTCACTGATGAGTGTGTGCTCCCACTATTGTCCGAGAGTATTTGTTGCGCGCGCTTCCACGGACTCGCGGTACGTCGAAGCGCTCACAGGCTGGATGTAGTCTGATAAAAACTGCGTGTGAGCGATGGCGACGCCACGATCGGTCCGCAATGGCGACGCTACGCAGAGGCCACCTCCCACATGTCCGAAATAAGTACACACACACACACACACAACCTACTCGCTGCCTTGCAGCTGAAAACAAAAGGACGACGCCACCGCTGGTGCCATGAAGTTTACTGGTACGTTTGGAGTGGAGCCTGGACAGTAATCCATTTTTCCGTAGCGTTCACTGACTCTCCTCGCCCACACACGCGGGCGTAGGTTCA